ATCAAAGATGTTCGTGTGTACTAGACTTTGAGGAATTTAGAAAAGAAATTTTAGAATAAGCCCACACCACCCCTTATTTAGTACATCCAGGAGGTACAAAGATGTAGCTTGATCTAAAAGCTGTATTTTGGTGGAAAAATATGAAGGACATAGTTGAGTTCACTGAGAAGTGCCTAATCTGTCAACAGGTGAAAGCTGAGCATCAACGACCATCAGGGTCGCTACAGCCATCAGATATTCTAGAATTGAAATGAAACATGTAAAGATGGATTTTGTTGTCGGTTTTTCGAAAATAGTAAAAGGCCATGAGGATATTTGGGTAATCATCAATAGACCGACCAAGTCAGCTCATTTCTTACTTGTTCGAATGACATTTTCTATGGACCAGTTTGCATAACTATATGTTAATGAAGTGGTAAGGTTACATGGTGTTCCAATTTCGATTCTGTCAGACCAAGATCCAAGTTTTACATCGAACTTTTGGAAAAGTCTACGTCGGGCAATAGGAACTAAGCTAAAATTCAGTACAACTTTTCATCCCCAAACAGATGGATAATCCGACCGAACAATTCAGACAATTCCAATATGTGTTTTAGATTTTGGAGGAGATTGGGAAAAGCATTTACCATTAATTGAATTCGCTTATAACAATAGCTATCATGTCTCATCAGTATGGCACCGTATGAAGCACTGTATGGAAGGAAATGTAGATCACCTATCCATTGAGATGAAGTGGGTGAACGTAAACTATTAGGACCTAAAATCATGGAACGAACGATTCAGGCAATTGAAAAGATTCGAGCTAACATGAAGACCGCCCAAGAAAGATAAAAAAGTTATGAAGATAGAAGACGAAAGGAACTAGAATTTGCCGTTGGTGATAGTGTATCTTTGAAAGTTACACCAATGAAAAGTGTCTTAAGATTCAAAAAAAGGGAAAACTTCGAATAAGATACATCGGACCTTTCGAGATGCTCAAATAGGTTGGAAGTGTAGCTTATCAATTGGCTTTACCACCAAAGTTTTCTGCAGTGCATAACGCCTTCTACATATCAAAACTTAAGAAGTACATCCTTGATCCAAGTCATGTATTAAAGCATCAACCTTTAAAAGTTCAATGGGACTTGAGATATGAGGAAACCCCACTTTGCATTATAGCTCGAAAGATACAAAACCTTCGTAACAAGGAGATACCGTTTGTTAAAGTGTTATGGCAACAACTTCAGTTTAAGAGACGACTAGGGAATGCGAGGATGAAATGCAATCTAAGTACCCCCAGCTGTTCAATATTATCAACTAAGGTAATTTTCGAGGACGAAAATTATTTAAAGAGGGGGTAGATTGTAACACCCCAAAAATCCGTTATAGTCGTTAATATTAGAAGTTAGGACCTTATGAGGAGTTGAATATCTAGGGACCAAATTGTTTGATTCATATAATTTAGGGGTGTGTGTGTGTGTTACCATAATTAGTATAGGTAATTACCATAATTATTTGTATGTATATATGTTAAATGTGCAAAATTATAGAAGGAATCATCATAAATGCCATAAATATGGAGCTAATAAGGGAAAATTCCATTTTCACATAAAGAAGGATTCCATTTTTCCATCCATAACAATATTTGACCATTTTCACATATACACTCACGGCATTCACCTTTTTCACACACCAAAAGTCATTTCATTTGTACTACACACACAAGAATTCATAAGTGGGCCCTTAGTAGTTGAATATTTCACACTAATTTTATCAATTCCATTTAAGTTAGGAGGTAAGTGATGTTGCATGTGATTTATATGAGCTCGTATTTTGTACTTTAAATTTTGGAACTCGTTTTATGGGCCATATATGTTTATGATAAGAAGGTTGGAGTTTAGTAGCCCTACACACAAGAATTACTACCACCTATGTTCGGAGTAGTTCATGTGTCTCCTATATGTATGATATGAAATCCTGTTTTACTTAGTTTAAATGCAAATTACTTGTTCACTGCACACACGATATGAACATCGAACACTTGAGGAAGTACTATCAATAATGAGACTTTGTTCCGATCTAATCTTAGTATGTTATAATGAATTGATTGTTCTGATCTGGTCTCAATTTTAAATTCCCTAAGTGTTGGAATTGCCTTAGTAAAGGGTGGTGTAATTTATCTCAAGTAATGAAGCTTCAGTTCCGAGCCACATCAGCTAGTAAACGGTTTCCTCAGTCCTTCAGTAGGTTCATTTAAGCGATCCGATCTTCAATTATTAGCTGATTAACATTAAGGGGCTCTTCGTGTTTGTTTAAGTGGTCCGCTTCATATTAACTTAAGTGGTCCGATCTCAAATTGTTAACAGGTTAGCATTAAGAGTCGCTTCATACTCGCTTAAGTGATTAAACTTATATTAACTTGAATGGTCTGGTCCACAGTTATTAACTGGTTACTGTTACGAGGCAATTAGTCTGACGCTTGTCATTCATACAAGTATGAACAAATAGAAAAGATAAAAAAGCAGAAGCGCAAATACTTATAAAAAATTTCATTTCATTGAATAAATTTAAGTACAAGGAGGCCGAAGCCATTACAACAGGTAACCCTACTCTACTGGAGGGACTTCTACATTGGCCGCCTCCGGGGCCTTCGGAGCCAAGCCTATCAGGCCGACTTCCAGTTGGCCCCCCGAACTCTACCTCCAATGAAGAGATGTCTAGAGTAGGTGCACCTCCTTCAGTCGACCCAATAAGCTTTGGGCACTCCATGAGACCCAGAAATTGGCGAAGTCGTCATACATGGGATGATCTTCAAAGTGGTCGATGAAGTTTTGGACTGCCACCTCCCCTGCAGATTTTAGCTCCTCCTTCAAAGAGGCAATCTCCTCTAACTGAGCCTCTGCCTCTTGCCTCAGCTCTACCTTCTCTTTGTTGGAGGCCTCCAGAGCTTCGGTGGCGAGCTTGTGATGCTCATTGGCGTGATCAAGCCGCCAAGTCACAGCAGCCACTTGGCACTCCACTTCGTACAACTCTTTCTTCAGCCGCTCCACTTCTGCTTTGGCGGCAGTTAGCTGGGCCTCAGTTTCCTTTTTCCCCTCCTCCGCCGCGTGGCCTTGGCCTGGGCTGCTCGCACAGCATCCCCGTAGTGCATCGCCTTCTCGAGGCGCTGGGCTAGGTCCTCCCTCTTGGAGTTCAGATCCTTCACCAAGCCCTCAAACTGGATGCTTATACTCAGGGCCCGAGCCACGCAGGCGCTATTCGCAGCTACCAAATCCTCAGCTGTGCAGGAAGCGGTGTGGTCCCTCCACTCCTCGGTCCAGTATTTGCTGTGGACCACCGCCATCGTAGCTATTTCTGGAAGAAGAGCCTCAAACACTTCCCTTACAGGCTCCTCGAGATTGGTGCCCAGAAAGTCGACCTCCTTAGAGGGACGGGGCCTCTTCCTCTTCTGCTACCTCGGCACTTGATCAATTAGCACTGCAGCAAGGGGTATTGTGGCCGTGGCAGTGGCAGGCTCAGTTGGGATGGGCCTCTTCTCCGGAATGGCCACCTCGGTGGGGATTGTGGTCTGCCTCAAAACAGGGGGTGGCCTCGCCACAGTTGGGCATTTTGGAGGGGCAGTATTCTTTTTGCCCTTTCTCCGAAGGTCAGCCTCCGGGTCCTCCGGTACCTCCTCCTCCGTCAGAGGCTAAAGCCTCTTACTTGCTTCCACAAAATCCTCCATTTGCTTTTTATATGAGGAGGAGGAGGCCTTCAACGCCCGTGCCTCTGCCATCATCTTTTGGATGGTCTTAAAGTCGGGGCGCACCGGCATCTTCTTATTAAAGTTGTCTGCAAAGAGCGAATAACGAATTAGTACAAGTCTTGAGAGTTCGGAATAAAAAGCAAAGACTTCGATCTAGTTACCTTGGAATGCCATCAGATCGTGAGTAATGAAGTGGATGTTCTTTCGGATCAACCTATGGTAAGACCTCTTCCTTTGAGGCAGCTGATAAATGATGCAGATGGTTTCAAAGTCCTCGAATGACAGCTCGCATTGAGGAAATGTAAATGTTAGGCATAATTTGAACCAAAGAGAAATATAAGGAAAAATAACTACTATACTCACTAAGTGTTGAATACTTCATCGGGACCGTAAGAGGCGCCAGGGGGTTCCCCTCCATCGTGTCCCATCGTTCTGCGGCCCAGCACCACGAGCTCTTCCATTCTTTGATGGAGCTCGGCAGATCGAGCACGAATGGAGTGTGGAATCCTCATGAAGTAAGGTACTGTTAATAAAATGCTCAAGTACTGCATAATTAACGCACAAACAATTTATATTCCTTAAATTCTAAATGATAGTAACTAACTACGATATATAAACTTTCATCTAATAATAAGATATTTAAATTCTTGATTTTTTACAATCAAATCATTGGTCGATTAACATTTGGAAGAATAAGAAGGCACAACTTTTTTACATTCCAAACAAAATTTTCTCAATAATGCATGCATTAGAAGAAATTTGTACTTTACCTATAAAAATTTGAGAGATAAATTGTGATTTGTATGCAAAGTTTGTTCTTCCCCGCAAAAATAATGTTTCATCAGATTATGATTCACTTCAAAATTTTTAAGAATAACTCTTGTGGTACATAAAATGGTGTCCATAATGGTGTCCCCTCACTCACATACATGTGAGTGAGGGGACACCATTATGGACACCATTTTATGTACCACAAGCACATCCCAATTTTTAATAGTGGGAGAACTTGGGCCCACAAAAATTTGTATGTTTTCCCAATAAAATATTTGATGTATACGATATATTGTTTGCCGACAAAAAATATTTGACTTGTTTGTATACTAATAATTAAAAAAAATGTTATTTATTATTTTATTTTTAGTATCTACAAAATTTATATTCGAAGTGAATAGATAATTGAAAAGGAAAAGACTAAATATAATAATTATTATTTTTAAATACATATACATTATAATTTCATTTTGCCTCATTTATCTAAAATTATCTCACTATTTTCCATCCCCACATTTCATTTCGAGAATTTGACCCCATTTCAAATCCCTAACTTCATTCATATCTCATTCATCAGGCCGTGTGATGGATTCTCTCCATTTTATTTCTGGACATGACTTCTCTTCTTCAAGCAATAAAAATTCACGAAAAAATTCCAGAATTGTTTTTCATCTACGTAGTTTTCTGCTGGATCTTGATTTTAAATTCGCGTAAGTGAAAATCAGGAGTGGTGGAGATGAAAAAACTTAGATTTTTTTAGGCTTCGGTTTGATTTATTGATTCACATATTTACTCTTTCGATTTCAAAGCTGATAAATTAGTTACTTTCTTTTTCTCTTGACAATATTCTTTGAATATGAGCTAATTTTCAATTTGAAGTATGTAGGGGAAGCAGCGTGTGTAGGAAATAAATGCAATGCGTTAATGAATCACTGGTTAAGCATGAAAAAATAGGTCCATTTATTCCCTTAGATTTTGATGAAAAACTGAATTCAGTTTTTGTTCATTCCAGATGTTAGAATCAATTCGTTTCTCAATCATCATGAGTATGTTAATATTCTCATACTCAAACATGGAGAAAATCTGTTGGTACTCAATTTTCATTTATCACTACTGAAAATGGGAATTATTGTGCAAAATTTCAATATAGCGCTCACTTATTTTGCTGTTAATGATAATCCCCTTCACCAGGGACGCTTCATTTCACGTTGAAATTGCTGCTTCAATTCAAAGAATCCTAGTCATGGCTCAAAACCCAGGTAAAAGAATTTCTTTAAATCCCCATTTTATAAATTTATTTCATGTTTAAATGTGGAAGCCTCATATTTGCTGGGTATTATTCGTTTCCATCTTAATGAAGGAAAACGACGACGAAAGTAATATCATAGTTTGATTTGCATTTGTACAAGATATCGTAATTAAACAGTAGGGATTTGATTGAAATTGTGGGTCATGGATCAATATAATTGCTCATATTTATTGGGCATTACTCTTTTCTATCGTAAAGTGTTTGACTTCAGTATGCATTTGTGCAAAATGTCGTAATTGATTGAGATTGTGGGTTTTATGCATCCTACTAAATTGTGGACGTTTGCATTGTGTCTAAATTCATAAACGTTGGATGATGCTAGTATCAAGCTAATTATCAAATATTAATGACAGTCCTATGACTAAAATTATTTAATTAATTTTGGATTGGAGTGTCCTACTCGGGTAAACCCATCAATGGTCACCAAACTTTAGTTTTCCTATGACAACCCAATTTGATTTTATTTCATTATAGCTATCCAACTTGATACTTACGATCATAGTCATCCATTTTTATTTATTTCATCATGATCACTCAATTTCATATAATGTTCTACCATGGTAATCCAATTTCATATAACGTATCTCCATGATTACTCAACTTCTTCTCATCATTTTCACTAATTTTAAAAGGGGTTCAACAGCAAATTTGCATTATATATAAATAAGTTTAAAAAAATAAAATAAAAAATTATTTTAAAAAAATAATTATATTTTTAAAAAAAATGTTACTTAATAGAGTAAAATAAAATAAAAACTTATTTTAAAGAAATGTTTTTAAAGTAATACAAAAACATATTTAAAAAAAAAAAGTTACTTAGAAACATAAAATAAAATAAAAAGTTGTTTTAAAAAAGAATGTTCCTTAAAAAAATAAATAAAATAAAAACTTATTTTAAAGAAATTTTTTTTTTAAAAAAAAAAAACTTATCTGCAAAAAAGGTATTTAAAATAAAATAAAAATTTAATGAAAAATGCTAGAAAAATAAAATAAAGTAAAAATTTATTTAAAAAAATATTCTTTTAAAAAATAAAATAAAATAGAAACTTATTTAAAATCTAGTCTATGTCACATGCGTTGTACGAGTTTTGTATGTGTTTTGTTGTTATTTGCGTAGAATTTGTAGATTTTACAAAAAGTATTTGAAGGTGTGAAATGTTTGCTTGATTGTCATTCTTTTGTTGACTGTATATTGTATGTCAATGACAATGACAATTTTTTTATTTTTATAAATAAATATAATCAATGAGGTCAATTGTATATTGTATGTCAATGTTAATTTTTTTTTATTTTGTTTTATAAATAAACATAATCAATGATGTAATGATCTTGTGCAATTAGGTTGCATCTGTTTAGGTGCGTAAGTGAAAAGTTAATTACTTATTGATTGATATTTTTTAGTTTAGATTAGAGTAGATGAAGAATTGACTTTTTTTGTTTGATATTGTGAATAAGTTGTAACTTGAACTTCGCAAAATGTTTTTCTTAAGCAAGCTCAATTGGAGAGGCTATATTTGTACTTTGAAAAGTGACCTGTGCAGTTGTAAATTGAGAAAGAATTTCATGAATTCCAATTTAAATTTCAATATAACTGAAAGAAGGGAGAGAAAAGAAACAAATTCTGGGGAGTAAAATAGAAACTAATTCCATTACTGCTGATATTTGCAAAAAGTGTAGCAGTCCAGCAACACAAAAGGTAAAATAAGAACTTCTTGTGTTCTTAGCATGAATGATGTAGTTATCATGTTTGACATGCATCATTTTTCAACACTAACATGTTTTCATCAGTTTCTAAATACATTCATATAAAAAAGGAAACAAGAGTAAGGGGTGGACATGTTGGAGCCATTTCACTAAAACAGCTCAATCATTTTCTACTCCATTTTTTCCTTTGAAGTAAATGGATTTGAGCCAAAAAAAATTTTGAATCTATGCTTTCTTCAAAATTTATTCTTGAAAATGAGTTATGTTCAATAGACTTGAAAAGAGCTTTTTTTGCTGGAGGTGACCAATCTTCCTCAGCATCCACATCAACACTTTTCCTAGAATTGACTTTTCCTTGGTGTTGGTGGTGGTGATGTTCTGCAATCAAATGTTCCAAATCTGTCACAGAGATGATGTCAAACTTGTAATTAGATGAATTATGTTCGGTTTGAGTCGTTTTCACATAGAATACTCATTCAATGTTTTGCATTTTTTGAATCACATCTCCAAAGTTTGTTTCTAAACCCTGTTTAGAAAAAAATGATTTGTATTATGATTAATTTGTGAAAAATATGTACTAATTATAAATATTATGCAAAGGTTTAATGTAATTTAGAATTGTTACAAGGTTGGCTTGCTCCACCAAGGCCTGTGCATTTGTAAACATTTCTTGGCTGGTTCACCAATTGCACTTGCATTTATAAAGCCCGTGATATTAGATAGTTGCACATATGCTCTAGCCCTTAGATAAAGAAGGATTCGATATTTGTAAATGAAAACATGGATGCATTAAATAAAAATAAAAATGGAAAACTATGAAAGAAAGTATATTTTACTAAGGAATAACTTTATAATTGGGACTCTTGGAAAAAATACAAAGATATGTTTCAGCAAAATTGGTGATTTATCGCTGATAGTAATTGTCGCAAGCCATGTACCAACATTTATTATCTATTTTCTCAACCATTGTTGTGTCATTGACCCAATAAAACTTCTATTGTTATGAAAATGAATTTTTAGTGTTGTATACGTGAATATATTAGAATATAATAAAAAAAAGTATAAACAGTAATTATAAACTGGAAAAGTATTGGTAAAAGAAGACCATGCAGATTTTTGATTAAAGTGAATTTCCTACTTACTGGAGGAGAATTTCATGTGAATTATTTCCATGTATGGCTTTTTAAATACCAATTCATCAATTTTCTTAGAATTTGTATTCACCCTGAAAGAATAAAATGAATAAAATAAGAATAACTAATTAAATTAAATAAGGTAATGATATGTTGCAAACAGACGTGTGTACAAATTAGGAAATAAAATTTGAACTACTTATACATTCCATTCTACCAATTTTTTACTGCGATGAAAGGAGTATTTATGAAGATGGTGCTATGAACTTTTGTGGACAGTTTAAACTTGTGTAATAACTTTAAAGAGAACATAAAAAATTATAAGTAATAATGATTTATATACTTATATGTAGGTGATATAAAATGCCTTTTTTAATATTTTAAATAATGAAAAAATAATAGAACATACCAAAGAAAGATGTAACTTTTATGTGGGTTGCAAAGATCACTGGTTTTTTTTTTTCAATAATTTTTGCTATCAATATGCATTCACTATCAGCAAATAAATCCTAGAGTGTCAACATTATTGTTTTGAAACTCTGGTCCAGAAGTATTACATCGCATACCCAAGTTTGGTTTCCATCTTTTTATTGAATCAACCGCTTAGGCATCATATCAATTACAATTGCTAATATGTCCATAAAATAAAAATCAATAATTACCTTTTTTTCTTTTGTTTGTAATCACAGTTATTTGATTAAACAAAATATACTACTATTATTTATTTTTCTTAGGACCTGCAAAAATAATATTCAAATCAAATGGAATGTGCTATTTCTTACTCAAATCAGTATCTGCATACATTCACTCAATTTCCAAATCATCAATGCCTTAAAGATTTCGTTGAATGTATAGATGTAGATCAACAAGCTTCTTTGATATGTATTAATTTTTATGGACTTATTTATGGAGATGTTTATAGAGCAGAAGAAGAACAATTCAGTAGCAAATTGGTACGTAAATTTATAATGAGGTTTGTCAATTGTGCAAAAATAATGAAGCCAGGGTGCAGTTAGATAACCATTTTGCTCGCTTCGACATGTAAAATTTTTGTCTCATTTTGGATTACCTTACCATGAAGTCTATCAATCGTGATTTTAATAATGATTGGCTTAGAAATCAATATTTTAATGGTACAAAAAGAATTGGTATAAGAATGCCTTTTGAAGCCTTCTACATATGTGAAAATCGAGATGATAAATTGAAACTGGGATAGGTTATGTTGGTAGAGTCCATTTTGAAGCCAACTGGAAGATTCATTGATTACAAAACTCTTGGCATGGTTGAGCATTTTAACGACTTTCTTGTGTATCCATGAGGCCATAAGGCATATTTGTTATGTTAAACTTACTGCAAGAATCACAACTTAAATGAGTACAAAGGATGCAACAAAATGAGCAAAAGGATTGTAAATATTCATTACATAGATATCCACTTGCATTTCACGATTTTTTCTCCTATTGACTTATGTGTAATTTGTTTGTATGAGAAATAAATTGTATGTATCGAATATATATATTTTCATTTATGTTACAGTATTGGATATATGAAGCGCTTTCAGAGATTGGACAAAAATTTGGACAACGTAGTTATAAGACATTACAGAGTTCACGAATGCACAAATGAAAGCCAAATAAAATATTGTCTAAGAAAATAGTTAAACAATGATTGATCCTGGTACTTCGAAGACATATAGTTCAGTTGGAGTTGGGCCCAATTCTATTTCTATTGGCTCCAACTAAGTAACTAAAGAGAAAATGGAAGAAATGTTGAGCATGTATAAGAAACATATAGTGTCAAATGTGTCTGATTTGCATGACAAATTGAGGCACACATTGCTGAGAAAACCAAAAACAATTGTTCGAACAACATCAAAAACGGAAAAATGATCATTACATGTATAAGAAACATATAGTGTCAAATGTGTCTGATTTGTTTAATACACACTTTGTTGAGGAATCCGAAAAAAAAAAAAAAAAAGCACACAACTAGGCAATTTTGGAAAACCAAAAGCTATTCTTTCAACAACAATAAAAATGGCAAGAAGATCACTATCGGGGCTTGCAATCCTATGCAATACCAGTTTAAGTTTAGTGAAATCTTATATTGATGAACAAAATAAGAATGCACTAAACAAATTATTTGATTGGGAACTAAACATGAAAGCCATTATAAGTTCTATACAATAAGATGTTCTTGTTGGTAAAAGCGAATTGAAACACCTATTAACATCTCAACAAATTGAACATGTCGAAAGGTTGACTTAAGGGAAAAAGATATCATCTTCATCATCATCCACATGTTATCTTTTAGACGACTATCTTATGGATAGGTACGCATTAATTACAGATTGGCTGTTG